CTAAAGTTCTTCTCTAATATAGCCGAAATCGAGTTGCTGGTTCGCCCGAGCGCAAAAGGCCTCGAGTACAAAGGGTTAAATTAACGAACGCTAGGAAACCTGTCATTGAAAACACACCACATGAAAAAACGTATGCAAATAAGATGTGAAGCGAGCGACTGGAAAATCTATCAGTTACTGAATATTATTTATAAGAGTTAATCGTCGACGGAGCTTAATAGGTATTTTCTATTAAAAGGAAGCCAATTAAGCCGAGAGACCTTGTCCCGTCGCGACTCTATTTTGGATTTCAATGTAAGACCGATGCTATCGAAGCCGGGCAGGAAATTCTGCTCGGGACTCGACGAGATTGAATTTAGGCTGGGATTCGAAATAGATGAAGGAAGACGCGACAGAAGGACTCGTACTCCGGCGACGACGAGGACGATTCAACTTGAAATTCTGTGAGTTATCGTCGAGCGACTACTATAACTTCCAACGAGACCCGAGGGTTTCTTATTACAGCGGATGTCCCGAGTTCCCTCTGTATCGAGCTCGACGTAAATTAAAGAAAATCCATCGGTCATTTAATCGATTCTACTTCGATGTTTCTCGGATTTGGAAAAAGTTTCAACGAGTCTTGAAACTACTTAAAGAAACTGGAGGGGAACTGCGTAAATAAAGCAGATGGCGAAAAATGTGCATCCTCTCATCTCACCGTCAAATTATATCCGCGTTACAACAAACTTCAAATAAACCTGATTCTAGTTTGCATCAGAAATAGTAAATACGCCAAGTACAGGAAAATTGGAAATGACCAAGTAAAAATTGCCAATAGATCTGCGAACGTCAAGTTGAGAATACATTCTTGTCAAGATTCGTTTGAAACACTCTAGCCAGCATGAAAAAGCGCCTTACTTAACCAGTCCCTTTAAACAAACTTACCGTTTCGGGGTGAATTTACAACGTCCGTTCGCGACCCCTTAATCTTACGCGACCTCCCCTTACGCCCGTTTCGTTCGCGTAACGCGTGCATCGCTAAAAACACCGTTGCGCCTCGCAAGTATCCGTTAATAACGTCGAGTCCACCGGGAATGGCAAATGGAACGGCACCACCAAGGAACGTAGCCACGCGTGTGCGATGTACAATTCCCGTTCAACTTCCCGAAAGTTGAGACAACGGGTCGGGTGTAGTCAGGCGGAAAATGAAGAAAAATACACTGCTTTTTATAAAATTCAACAGCATTTGATTCACCGCAGTACGTAATATCTGTACCACCTTTGCGTTTATATTGTTAGTATCGTTTGACTCAAACGTGCTAAGAAATCTTTCGAGCGATGCGGTTTCCCGACCGATCCGGTTCCGAAGCAGCGTTCACACATCTTTGTAGATGTGGACATTAATTAATTGTAATCCCATCGCATCGTCTGAACGAGATGCCACTGAAATCGGTTTTACGGCTATTTCGAATTTAACACGTTGAATGCCACACCAATTTTATAGGGATTGTCCGTGGCGCCACGATGAATTTTCTATTATGCGATACATATAATGTTGAAATATTATCTGCAATAGATAAGTTACAGTATATAACAATGTTTGACATATTAATTGCGACGGGATCACCGGTGACCCCCGCGGCGTTGGAGTGCGATTTCGCGAAGTATTGTCATTTGTTTAAATTATATATATTTCTATCAATCTGGGCGCGCCGGTCACCGGTGGTCCCCATGGCGTCACTGCCAAGTTGAGTGCCGGTCACCGGTGACCCCCGTGGCATTCAACGTGTTAAGTACAGTAATGTACCTGGAAATTGACTAAGTTCTGATTAATGAATGAATGGAAACAAATCTTGAAACTTTTATTTTCTGAAGAATAACGTACTACAATTTAATTACAATCTACGGTATCCTGTATTTTAACACATTGCTGACCGGTCACGAGTTAACTCGTGTTTTCGTGGCCAAGCGTTGGTGACCGATCACGAGTAAACTCGTGATAAGCTTTTATCCCCATCTTTATTGTTTTCACGGCGCACTGTTAGAAATCTTGTAGTGTAATTATTTGGTCTGCATACCTCAAGTTGTGTCTCGCTTATAAGACCGGCCAAGTTTCGTTCTTATGGGCAGATGAGGTAAATTTTCAGAAAAGTTGCCGGTCAGCAATGTGTTAATAGAACCACTTTAAAGCAAATAAGTCTGAGCGCGATACATTTGCAATCGAGGAAAAGACAAAACAGAAGCTAATAACAACAGTCGTCGATAAAACGGCGTTTCTCGCTTCGAGCAAACGGTTTTCCGATAATCTTTGCGCATAGGTTCCAACGGCATCTCATATTCGCGGTGTAAGCAGGCTGATGCACGGTTATTTCAATGGAACCCGGATACGTGGCGGGCGATGAACGGGCAAAATGCAGTCGACGGAGCTAAAAGGTCGCTATGTATACGTATGCATGTATTTTCAACTTGAAACGATCCCCTGTCAAAGCTCGACGCGTGCCACACACAAGACAGATTCGAATGCCTTTTCGTCTACCGTTCCCCCGTTTACGACCGCATACATCATCCCAAGGAAAAGATGCAACATGTGCGCGAACCTGATCGAACAATAAATATATTCAAGTGGAGAAAGGCGACGAAACAATCGGTCCATTTCTTTAGAAATTCAAATTGTAAAGATACAGAATAAATACAGAGGCAAACGGTTGGTAGTATCGCGAAAAGTGCAAGCTTCTCGGTCCGCGTTCCACGATTTCATACCCGCAAGAGGCGAACGCGATCTCTCGAACCTAAACGAGCCGCAACGCATTTCTACAATGCTGCGAGGTCGGATACCAAAGCGAAACATTTTCCAATCGCGTTCCCAGTCAGGGGGAACTCGGTTACTTATTTCCAAACTGTTGAACTCGCAAACTTAGGCGGAAACTTGGTTCGTTTCCTGTTCGGGCGAGCAGTTTCCATCAAAGATCAGGGATATAACCGCTTTTGGTCATGGCTGCGACCGGCGCCGAAAGCGCATCGAGGCGGACGTTTCGCGCTGAGAACAGACCCGCGAAACGAGCCTCGATGCGACACGCTTCACGCGCGGACGACCCAGCCATCCGAGTTTGCACTCTCCCGTTTGATTCCCGGATGCGAGCCGCGTCTTCTCCCGTTTTTGCATCGACGACTCGCTATTACGCTTCATTTGCGATTTACTTTGCCGACCGGAACTCCGGGTATATCGTTTTCTGCGACAGAGAGATCGTTAAAATCTCATAACGAGCTGCGACGTTTCGGCACCTGCCCTAGTTCGGTTTATTATTAACGACCGAGCGGAGCGAGCAGTATTCCAAATATACTGTATAGCTGCGCTATTCATTTCTCCCAATTTTTTTGACAGCAAAGCAATGGTTCGAATTAAGGATGTATTGGCTATACAGTCAATCCCAAAAGTTTATGCACTTTAGAAACACATTTTTTAAAAAGAAATCAGACGTCGGAAGAACATTGTTA